GATAATTAATAATAATAAAAAAAAAATGGGTATTACACCATGTACACATGTGTAATGGCAATTCGTGCATTAATGCATGTGTTGATTCAATTTATAGTTATGATACGTAATGAACAAATTGAGCGTCCATTAAATCGACAACGAATTACTAACATGGGAAATGACTATATACACTGAGCATTAAACAATGATCCTACAATATTTCGACAAGTTTATAAGATGTATCCAAATGTATTTCGAAAGTTATGTGCAATTCTTAGAGTAAAAACACCTCTAGATCTTACACGATATATTTGTGTTGAAGAAATGTTTGCATCATTTCTACAAATTGTTGGTCAGAATACTCGATATTGTGTAATTCGTAACACATTTGGCCGATCACAATTTGCTACAAATGAAAATTTTCACAAGATTTTGAAAGCTTTGAATATGATAGCACCTACTTTGATGGCTAAACTAGGATCAACTATGCCAACTAAAATTAGAGAAAGCACAAGGTTCTTCCCTTTCTTCAAGGTATGTACTAATTATCTTACAATAAAAATTATAATTAAATTTGACACTACTATATTTATATTTTTCATACGATGAAGTGTTATATATGTTAAATTTTAGGATTGCATTGGAGCTATTAATGGGACACATATTCCAGCAATAGTGAGGGGGCTAGATGTAAGTAGTTATCGTAATTGTCATGGAAAGATATCATAAAATGTATTAGCCGCTTGTAATTTTGATTTGGAGTTCATGTACATTCTTAGTGGGTGGGAGGGTTCGGCTCATGATTCTAAGCTACTAAATGATGCTATAAGAAGGAGGAATGGACTTAAAGTGACTCAAGGTAAATGCTTATTCTTTAAATAATAATAATAATAATAATAATAATAATAATAATAATAATAATAATAATAATAATAATAATAATAATAATAATAATAATAATTATATATATATTACATATGTAATTAGGTAAATATTTCTTGGTGGATTGTGGATTTCCTAATCGACACCAATTTTTAGCTCCATTTCAAGGTGTAATATATCATCTACAAGATTTTGCAGGTCAAGGTAATGACCCTGAAAATGAGAAATATTTGTTCAATCTTCGTCATGCATCTTTAAGGAATGTGATTGAGAGAATATTTGGTATTTTTAAATCAAGGTTCACAATTTTTAAGTCAACACCTCCATTTTTATTTAAGACACAAGTAAACTTGTGTTAGCATGTGCAACACTGCATAACTTTCTACGTAAAAAATATTGTTCTGATGAATTTCTAATTGAAGCGGTGGACGAACCTTCATCTTCAACATTACCGGTTAATGAAGATCATACTTTTGAGCCTATTATTCAAACCCAGGAGCAAGAGTGAGAAGACGCTAATGTTTGGAAGACTAGTATAGTTATGGATATGTGGGTGAATGTTATTTAAGATGATAGGATATTATGGAGAATTATTATTATTATTATTATTAATTATCTCGACATTGTTGTTTTTTTTTTATATTATTTTTGTCTTTGACTCTTTTTAAATTTGAATGTATGAAATTTTTTTGAAATCTTATCATATGTTAAAAATTCACGAAAGTTCTACAAAATCTCACAGAATCCATTAAAATCTTGATTTAAAAGTCTTCTAAAATCCATTAAAATCCTGATTTAAAATCATGCAAAATCCTGCAAAGTCTTAAAAGTCATGAAAATCCTGCAAATTTTTTTAAACTCCGCAGGATTTTTTTTTAACTAAAAGAATCCTTCAAAATCCTAATCCAATACACCCCTTAAAACATTTGAACACAATATCTTTTTACACTTTATTACAATATAATTGAGAGTTAAGAATCTTAATTAAAATATAGTGATGGTTAAATATATTAAAAATATAGATTGTCACGTTTAATAACATTGTTTAAATAATAATTATTTAAAAAACCATGCATAGAATTATTTTTAATTGGGTGACATTATAAAACGACTACCCTAATAACACTTTTTATTTCGGTAGATTACCGTAATAACATATTAACATGTAAAATTAAACTTTGTAGTTAGTTACAATAATAATTGTCTAATATTTAATTAAATGCGTAAAAGTTGTGAAAAATATTAATTTAATTTTACCAACATGTTAGCAGCCTAAATGAAATTGGACTTTCGCAAGTCTCGAATTTGATATTTTGAATAAAAGAAATATGTTGTGAGGGGAGATCCTATTAAAAAAGTGGGCTAACTGTGTTTAGTGACAAAAGACTTACATTAACTTGAAGTGGTGCCCTAGATTTGAGAAAAAAAAAAAAATATGCAACTATATATATGGGTGAAGTAATATATATATATATATATATATATATATATTTT